GAAAGAAGTAGGTACAGTAAAAACATTGATTACAAAGTAATAATCGCGGTGCGTTGGACATGACACCACCAGTGCTTGCTGGTCGGTAGGAGACCGAATTTTCACACTTCTTCATCACTTTAAATATTGTTTTGCTAATGGGTGATGCACATTAGAAACTCAAACATGTATGTTTCTACCCTCTTCGTGAGGATTTATGCATTTCTTGACTAGCGATTCAGAGTTTTGTGTGCACAATGCAAGGCGATCAAAATTTTTTAAAAGAAAAATTCTCAAATAAATTATTGAAGAAACATTTTTCTGTAGCTAACGAAGTATGTTTGATCTGTGAGTGCCACCCGTCATTATTATTTGCAGAAATGAATGTGTTTTTCTGGACCTCGATAAAAATTTTCAAAAACATCTGGACCCAACCTAAAATTACGTGTCGACCCTTGGCTTATATGATACTTCAGAATGTTTAGAGTGGAAAATAAAAGTCCCTTAGTAGCAGTCGGACTCATGAAAAAAGGGTAGACGCTCACATAGGTACCTGAGATTCTACTCTATACTCTACTAAGCTACTAATTGAAAAACTGTAGAAAAAGTAAGTAGTATTCATAAATTATTATCAATGATAGTCAAGTCAAGAAATCTAGAGTCGCGAATCGAATTCAAGATCACGGAGATGCAAGTATATGCAAAGTATAAATTTACAAGTGATTATATGCCAAATAAATCAAACATATAAATTCGCTTGATTGTGACATGCTGGAGTAATTATACAGTATAAATAGTAGAAAATGGAGACTGTGGTAAAAGAACAAATAAGTTAAAAAGAGACTCACCCAAATTATATACCACTACATTAGATCACTGCGGACAAGTGTTTCGCCCACTTGTAAAGTTGGCTTCATTAAAGGGAGACTGTTCGTGTTGAGGCTGTTCGCGTTGATAATGCCCACATTAGAAATGGCGAAACACGTGTCCACAGTGATCAAATTTGGTGGTAATCTGGGCGAGTTTCTTTTTGGTATATTTACTTGGTATAGAAGTTTCACAATGAGTCATCAGGCATGGGGTGAGGAATAGTTTAGACAGGAAAACATTGAACAGTAACTCATTTACAATTCTGTTCGCATTGATGAACATTTTGCATAATTTAGGCATAGTGCCTACCCGTTTGACTGATTAGTGATGTACGATTGGGAGTATATTAATCACGAATGAAAATTTTGTTGGGTATTATCAATTTCAATACTCACAGTCATTTATTCATCAGATCCTTCTTACGCATGATGCCATGTATTCGTTCATAATTTTTTGAATCAGTAATTTGTCTCTTTGTTTAAATACTCGTAAAAAGTTAATTGATCGTGAGTTATCTACATATACTGTTTCCAAAGTAACAAAAATGAATATGACTAAAAACTCGAGTCATTTGATTTACTAACAATACGCATAAGATAGTCTCAAACTTAAATTATTCTATCAACGTTATTTGTTAATTTAAACAATTTTTACAACCATTTCAGTTATGCAAAATACTTCCATAATATCAAAATTCACGATCCTTTTGCTAATTCAATTGGATTCTATTTTAGTATTGCCAAGCAATATTCCAGACAATTTTAATAATCTAACTTTTGATACATACTTTGTGAACTGAAGCGTTAATGTATCAAATTCTAAAAATTATACAGAAAAGGAGAGAGTGGAAATGTAAAGACCATTGCCGATTAATATCAGTCTTTTTGGTGGAGGTTTGCATTTCAGAAAACAGTATCGGTTTCAGTTCGGCGCCTATTGCGACGTCTCATGGCAGATTATTTGAGACTTCAGTCTAGACAAAAAGACAGAAAACAGACGATTTGTCCAATCTTACCGATCGTCGCCTGCTATACGGTACGCGTCGGTTGAACCAGCCAAGCCTTCGTACAGTCTCCGGGAACGTATCAATTGAAAATCTTAGTACCTACCTGAGCCGACGGGATGAGTGAACACAAGGAGACGAGAACGAGGTGTATAGCGCCGAGATGGATATCATTAAAACCCTTAAAACAATAGGTCTGTTTTTGGGTGTGAGCTAGTTGTCTTTAAGAAGGCGTTTACGGATAGCACAGAGAGTTCCGTTCGTAAAATTTAACAAAAGATTCAATCCGTAGTCAGTAAGAGCAATGCTGAGTATGAACCAATTTTGTATCATGAATCATGAAATAAACTTAAACTTATTTTAAAAGTGAATAGAAATAGGTAAATCACCAATCTAATTTTTAAATTAATAAGACCAACGTTAAAGCTATGAAACTCGGTGAGTTGAAGGAGAAATTAAAACATTTGAAATTGTCAATATCAGGAAATAAAGTTGTGTTGCGGCGAGAACACCTTCATCATCTAATGATGACTATGTAAACTGGGGGAATAACGAAGGAAAATTTGAAGAACAAGAATCTGAATCTGAAAACGACGACGAAAAAGAAGGTAGAGATACTGTACTTAAATAAAAGAAGGAATAAGAACACACTCACGCGAACATCTAACTTTTAATAAGTTGAAAAATTTAGCAGCATATAACGTTGGATGGAGTATTTCGAAAAAGTCAATAACAAATATAAATTTATTTCAATAATGTCTTCGAATACAGTTGACAATAATTGTCGTTGAGTATAGGGAGGAGGCGCAATTTTGCTCACAGCCAATACGAAAACTAATTTTAGTCACGAAGACAGAAGAAAATTTTAAAAAACACTCTTTTAATTACAATGTAATACAAGTACATAAGTACTTTAAAAATAACATAAAGTACACAAGTATGTTGTTTGAAAGGGGCATATTTCACAAACGGGCGCTGATTTTTATCAGTCCGTTTCCACGTTATATTATCTTTTTACCTCCCTAATTGACAGAACAAAATTAAACTAATTTAGTACGCCATTATAAAAAGTTAAAGGTAGGTAAACGCCGCGGTCTATTAAGACCTTCGGACTGTTTCTTTTTGTGCACGTCTGTTTTATGAATTAATTAACAAAATTAGCCTTTCGACTACCGTGCACACATACCAACCACATAGACTATACTAATTAAAAATAAGTAAGTTGCACCTGCCGTATGTTAAAAAACAGTGAAAAAAACCACCTCGTTACAAACCAACGGAATGTTACAATTAAGATTTTGGAAACGATAGACGGCATATATTAAACATAACCAAGTAAACATTTTATCGGTTAAAAAATTGAATAGATTATTAAATGTCCTGTCCGAATACAGCTTGCTAACATTTAAGAGTGAGTTGTCAAACTTGTTTATATAACAACCAAAAGTCGCGTATAAGAATTAGTAGGTACTCCTTATCACTACATAGTATAAAACAAAGTCGCTTTCCCGCTGTCTGTCCCTATGTATGCTTAAATCTTTAAAACTACGTAACGGACTTTGATGCGGTTTTTTTTTTTAAGATAGAGTGATTCAAGAGGAAGGTTTATATGTATAATACATGCATAATATAAGTAGTAGGGAAACACTGATAATTTTAGAGGTTTCTAATGTGATGTCGTAAATAAACACATTTTTTGCGCTTACATTGCAAACGCTGGTTGAACCCTACGAGATTGATCAAAATAATGTACTACAATATTGTACATCTTAAAAGGGTCTTAATATGTCTATCTCTTAGGGATAACCCACAATAACCATTTTTATCCTTTTCTTTTTATGAGAAATAATGACTTATTTACGAAGGCAATTGTAGGCAATACAGCATTAATTATTACCCAATTAAGTACCTTAAATACATTATGCATTTAATATAGATCAATATGGCCCTGTACAACATGTACTTTAAATGAATATTTTGCAAGATATTACAAAATTAAAATGCAGGGACATAGCGGTTGCGGCGATACCAGCCGGGAGGCCGGTTTATATTGTCTAATGACAAAAAAACTGTGAATGTTGTATATAAAGACATTCTGTAGTATATTTAGTATGTTCAGAGGGTATCTTTCGAAGATTTCCCCTTCTCGATAATAATATAAACAAAACAAAAATATACTTATTTAGTATCAGCATTGCACCCGTGCGAAGCTGGGTCGGGTCACTAGTATAAGTACATAATGTAAATGAAATGTATCAAGAGCCCAACTAAAATCATTATGCGTAACGTCATGGTAATTTTATAGTGAACTAGAGTTTCACCGCGTTGATGTCCTAGATATACGTCAAAGATCATTAACGACCATATTTTTACATCCCTCGAGAATAGTATTTCTTTTCTAGATAGAAATTACCGTAGGTTTTTTTCTGGATCCCTGACGATGTGTATACAAAATTTCATAATAGGTATTGATAAGTTTTTAACATAACTCCAATTCCCCGCGATGTTTGGACCCAAGAGTACAACTAACATGTAAAAAACATTACATCCTTTTTAGTTTTAGTTTAAAACAGTGGAGTACTACAAACGTATGCCTTCAGATGGCTCTATACATAAAAATCATACACAATTACATTAAAATGCGCTGGTGGTAAATACAAGACATTGTATTTCTCTTAATTTTTTAGTAATCGGAATTGTTGTTAAAAGATGAAATACGAAAGCACTTTTTGCAATCGAACACCCAGTGCTGTACGCTGCATTTTTTTCGATTGCATTAATAATTTTAAAAATATCAAAATTGGTTTTGTCTAAAAACATTCATCGCCCTGTATCTTTGCGAGAAAAAATCATCAAAGTACAAAATATTCTTAGAATAATCCTGGAAATAAAACCTTTTGTTTTTGTTTTGGCATATGTTTAATAAATACCCTGTATAGAAGCCACCTCTTTATAATATCATTTATGATTCTCATTTTTCATGCAACCCTTATTTGCTTTTCGACCCTCCTCAAAAAACATTCCTAGCTCTTCATAGTAAATTTCGTAGAGGGTCAACGCGGTTATCATATTGATGGGTTTTAAATAATAACAAGTAGGTACATAATATGTAAATGGTACAAACAAAAGAGTTTTGCTGAAGACTTACCCTTAATTTAACGAGGCGCGGTTCGTCCGTCGCCAGCTTGGCCAAGTCCTGGTAGTCGCCCTTCGCTGCAGTTACAAGCCATTCCGTGCACTTCTTCTGATCTAACTGCAAAGGACATAATTCAGATGGTTTTACGACCCCGTACATCCTACCGATGCCGGGTGCCATTTCGTCGTTACTGTTGGCGGGTACCGTTCGTCCGGGTGACATTTACGATTAGGAAGACGCATTTCGTCAATTAAATTCAGCAAGTCGAATTCAATGAAAAGACACTAAAGCAACGGGTCTAATTGCCGTGCAAGAGTGAGACAAAGGAGACGGGCCGGAGAGCAAACCGATGAGGCATAAAACTAAAGGGACCTTAAAAGCTTCAAAATAAGGGAATGTCCTAACTGTCAAGGACCTCTTCCCACTAACAAATAAAATACCTTTTAAAATGTCACCGTAAATTGTCTGAGGCAAAAACGGACAATAAAAACAAAAATATAAACATCCGTTTCTTTTTTTCCTGGGTGTCATAAAAACTAAGATTGTAAGACTAACGTTTATACGATTTTTGCAGAATTATAACTAATGTTCATTAATGACATTAATTTATAAAAGATTTTGTATTAAGAGCACACAAAAATTCATCTTCTTAAAATTCGAATTTCAAAACAATGTCAAGGAATGCACTTAAAAATCAGTTAAATCGAAAGCAAAATCTACCTGAACTCTAAAACTGGCGAAACCATAAATTAAAAGGCTTTTAGTCTTATCGTTTGAAGACACTAATGCCTAGATCAGCTTTTGCATAACTGCCATTTGTTTTAATGTTTGTATTTTCGTTTAAAATTATCGGAATAGCGACGTTTAATAAAAAAATAATAAACGTCTTTTATACGCTAATATAAAACTTTACTGGAAGATTATTATCTATCAGAGAACATTTACTGCAACAATTACAGGCTACATAATGTGCTACTTCGACGAGCTAAATGAGGGGTAGTATTAGTGATCAAGTGAAACTTGAACCATCCATACTGTTTTTTCTCCTTCATATCTAAACTACATATTACATCGTTTATGAATACCGAAGAAAATAAATACAACAAGATGCCTCTTACAGAATAATAACTAAATCGCCAAGAAAAGGATATGTACCTTAGGGTGGCCGGCGGCTCAAAAGAGAATATCTTCTTATTTATGGTCTTGAATGAAAATAGATTAATTTAATATGTTCGACTAAAAAATTTTAAGAAATTTTTAAAAATTTCCAAAATAATGAAACATTAATACTTTTTGTTTAATTTTCTTCTCGTCGTGTTATTAATATTGTAAATATTCTAAAAGCTTTAAGTCGATATATCAATTTATAGAAGTGATGTTTCTTGTTTTGCATATTGTAGCCTCCCTGTAGTTCTCCCTCAGTAAATGCAGTTTATATGCCCTATAACAGTGGCGTAGCGTATATATCTGCCACCCGGAGCGAAGACTAAATTTGCCGCCCTTCCTATTTACTTTGTTTATTTTTTATGATACAGAAACGGGGGTCTGGTTAGTGATTATGTTAGTAATATTTATTTTTCTGATTTTTCTGCAAAATTTAGTAGATTCCGATTTGAACAAATATGACGACCCTAGAAAATACTACAAATGGCGCGGAAAACGCCATCTGTAGTACGATGCTACATTTTAGGATTACGTATGCTCCAACAAGGTCCATTTAAATATATGGATACCTACTTGCTGAAACGAATCCCGGCGTAGCTAACCTCAACGTGAAAGGCACGTTACCTTTATCGAATAAAATAATTCCAAGTGGTCTGTATTCTGCCGGAGCTGCCTGCGACGCGCTGATGAGATCCAAAACGATCGAAATCGCGATCCGCGTCTGGCAGTTTCGACAGAATACAGACCACTTCGAATTATTTTATATGACGACCCTACTTTATAGAAGCGATGTTTTTTGTTTTGTATATTATAGTCTCTGTAGTTCATATGCCTCATCTGATGCAATATTAATCGTGAAACAGTTCCGACAAAATGACAACACGAAAATGAATTCTATTCAATTTGGTCTAAAAATCGACAAGCAAACAAACAAACAAGCGTTGGTCGTGAAGGAAGGGAACGAAGGGTAAGTACTTACCGAAGTGACCGAAGCGCCGTCATCCTCGTCGGCCCCCTGTGGACAAACATAAAACTAAACAAAGAAGAATGGGTGTATAAATTAGCGGGCGCGCGATAACATCGCCGGCCAAACGGACGAGTCACGGCGTTTTTATTAACGAATTACATGAGACATTCAGGTAATTTGTCCCGCGCACCGTTAATAGATTTTATAACGTCACTATCGCTCGTTCCGTTGGTCAACGACGTCGTCGTCTCTATCGCGGCCGACGCTGTCATTTTGACGTCTATTGGACAACGTAACGACAAGCGATTGTTATTAAACTGTTCGGTGTTGAGTATCTTGTCCTTAAGTTTATAGTAACTATACTATTACGTATAACAACCCACCTAATGAAATTTTACTTTTATCATACGATCAATCACATTGATTTCAATTTTTTTTTTAATTACCTACTGTAACGCGACAGATATTATACAAATAATCTCAACTATAACGTGATTAAAGACATGTGATGATAATGAGACACAACTGTTTATTTTATGAATAGGAAGACGCAATAATTTTTTTTTTATTTTTCGAAAAAATTAGCAGGTTTTTAGGTATTCAGGGAATCTTACCGATAAAAACTAACCACTCTATCAAGAATTTAAATTCAAGCTGTTTATACATAATTAATTTAAATCTACATGAACATAATTAAGAAATTCCGGATGGTCAAATTATTTAACAACATTATAGGATGTGTTCAAATTGTATTATGCTGCATGGGGATATTTTAGATGAGCCTTGAGAGCCCCCTGGTTCCTGCTACATTCTAAATTTCTAGGATTCTCAATATAATTGGGGTAATTTTAAATTCTTGTCTATCTCGCATGCTACAACTATGAAATAATTCTGACACTGAATGCTACAAACCAAGGAGCAAAATTTCAGGAATATTCTCATAAATAAAAAATATTAAAACTACATAAATATGGCTTGAAACATTTTATGTATAATCTCTACACAATTATTTAGCAGTTTTCAATGCTTTCAATTACTCAAGAACTGAATTGTAAAGAAACATTTAAATTTTTTAGGAGAAAATATCAGCTTTAACGAATAGCTGGTAGTTTTCTTCATCCATATTCAGTGCACATTATCGTACTTTCCCAGTTGACGATGCAGGTTATTATTGTTGTTCGTAAATGGTAAGGAATATCTCAAATAAATCGGCAACAAATTAGGACAAATTTCTAGGTAGAAATAAAATATAAGAAAAGATCGATATTGATTCTGATCAATGCTTTTATACATACATATATATACATGTGTAATATTCCTTCCAGATACTCAAGATTAGATGCGTGTACAAACACACATGCGTCATGTTCTTCTGGCACTAGATTTATTTAAATAATCAGCCATCTCATTCGGACGGAATCGTCCGTCGGCAGTGTAATGACTTCATTATCGATCAAAAATTATTAATAGGTGCAGGATAAATTATGCCCTCCCGAAGTAATTTAATTCTTAGTCGGAAGACGACGACCATGATGATGATGATGACGACGGTGATAACAGGAGCGCAAGAGGAAGAAGAAATTAAAAGATAAAGAACGGACGACGAAAAAAATCTAACGTTAGAAGAAAACAGCAAATGAATGAAAGATGAAGCCAATTTTTATTAAGGCAACTTCGATTTACCGGGTGTCCCAGGACACCACACAGATTGTTATGGATGCCGGATTTAAAAAATGGTGAAAAACATATGTATTTACATATATTTCAGAGGTAAGAGAAAAGGTTCATCTTCTGGACAATGTCAGAAATGGATAAGGAATCAGGTTATGTGGGATCTCTATCGAAAATCACAATTAAAACTTTTGCGAAATACATCCCTTTTATGATTTCAGCATAATTCCGTCGAGAATTACTTTACCACGTACCTATGCGAGCAACGATTCTCGGTGCTTTTGATAATGTCGTATAATTTTAGACCAGTTTTATTGATAGAACAACCAGTTGTATACCATCAACATAACCCAGTCACAAAAAAATTATACACCAAATAGTTCTATTCTAATCGATACTCACGAGCGATACTTAGAACAATATTATCAGTTTTATACAGGAAAACAATTGGTTTTGCCGAACTTTTTCTAATTATTCGTAATTAATAAATTGAGCATGTAAGGTAAGTGAGAATTAATCATATAATTCTAATGTAGTTAATGCAAACTTTTCTTAAGATAAAAATTATAAATAAGCGCCTCTGTTATTTTGTCAGGAAAGATCAATTCAAATATTCATTTCTACCAATAAAGCAAATTCTTTCAAATATATCTTGCCCAACCCTTTATTTGGAGATAAAAGAGTAAACTGTTTCTTCATAATGGTCAGTCACAATTTATATAATTGCGTATAACGCCAACGTTTTGCGAAAAATGAGCTATTAGGTGAAATCAATGGAATGGAAACTAATTTTTGTCACGCGAACGTTCACTTCAAGATATGCATTTTTCATTCAAAATTGAACGTAATTGAAAATAAAAATGATGCATGTGATCATATGCATAAACGCTACCACTTCCGACATTTTGAACACTGTTTCTGAAAAACGAACAACACTCTCAATTTCCTTCTCGAATATAGTCAAGGTTCTCACGGAACTTTTCCTTCATAAATTTATTGTTCGCAAAAGTAAATAACACTAAGTTACCGAGACCTTAATAACTGTATATAAGATACCATAAAAGTAGTAAATAATCACAGACAGCTCGTAAACGCCATCTACAAAAAGGACCTCGCTAAATCCTTACGGAATATGAAACTTTGGATTCTGGTAGTTCTCGAAGTAAATATTAAAAGTGAACCTGTTTGACATTTAATAGAGGACGATATCAAATATTAATGTGAAAATTCATTTTAATTATTTCCCACTATAAAATACCTCAAGTTAATGAGGGAAAATTTCTTGCTATTATCACAACCTCGGGTTCGATTCCCGGCGAGGTAGTTTATAGTGGGAAAAAATTAAAATTAATTTTCACATTAATATAGATTAAAAGTTTCAAAAAGTTTGACAGAGGGTCATTTTCAGTAAGATACTAGCGGGGTCCTTTACCACTAATACTTTAATTAAGGATGCCGACTTATTAAACCGTAGCTATCATTATGATTAAATACCCATACTATGTGAATTAGGATTTCGAACCTGTTGATTCTCATAAATATGTTCAATATTCATTTATTAAAGTATAAAACAGTGTGCAATAGTCCTTTATTGCAAATTTTACAATGATGACTTATTTTGCCTTACTTTTAGTATTTTTGCTTAGCTCATAGTCTTGCCTAGTTATAAACTTAATCCATCATTATCGTCATAAGGTCGTCAGTCCTAAGACTGGATGGACACGCACCTCCACTCTTTCGTATCGTGAGCTAACCTTCACATTTCCCTTAAACTAGAACAACCCACATCCTTAACTATTTGCGAACAGTAATCTAATCTAGGTCTACCTCTACCCCTCCTAACTCCTGTTTTTGCCTCTGATATGTCTCTGACTAGACCTTCATGCCTAAGAAGGTGTCCTACCAACCTATCTCGCCTATTTCTTATTAACTTCCATAGAATCCTCTGTTCTCCAATTCTTTCTAAGACCTCTTCATTCCTAACCTTCTCTATCCACGGTATCCTCATTATTCGCTTGTAACACCACAGTGTTCGTGATGGTCGGATTAACAATTTAAATAGGAATTAATATAAGAATGGGATTTAGTAGTAATTTCTACTTGCAGTATTCGTGAACCTTTTGAAACTAATACAAAAGAAGAGTGCTTCAAAACGAACCAAGCCGCTAAGCTAACATCAACTCCGATATTATCGGTCCACCAAAACATGCGGTAAAGGAAAGAAAAAAAACGAATATAATTTATTAGTGAAGGCGATGCTCCTGTGGCCTCTGTCAAGACAGTCATAATTTGAGTTATCTTCATATATTTATTGCGCACGCAACCCCTCGGCAACAGCCACCGTGTATAATAAAAAGGGTGAAATTTAAAACTTTCTGGCTTCTGATTTTCGTTTATGTTAATAGGACCTGATCTCATCTCCTTATTTATTACTCGACTTCTAAAACGGATGGTTAAAATTACCATTTTTCTTGTCGAGAAGGCACCGGGATACATGCCAGGCAGTGGATGGATAACATTAAAACTTTATCAAACGTTCCAGCTGACTTTGAAGATACCGAAATTTAATTAAAATATTACGCTTTGAACACAGACTCTTATAGTGTAAAACATAACAAAGAGATTCACAAATTCAAAACTTTATAAGGATGTAGGCGTGCAGTCAAAACATAATGATGTCATCGAAAGTTAAACTACTTTAAAGGCAACTAATATGTAAGTATTTATTTTGAAAACATTAAAAAGAGTAATATATGAGCTATAAAGAGTTCAATAAGTTCTCTTGAATTCATGATGACCCATAAAATCCGATTCACAGTTAAATTTTGGGACAACATGCGTTTTAATTCCCGGATTTCTTGAATAATTATGTAAAGATTTTTTATTTAAAAAAACAACCAACGTTTCCCTTCAGATTAGAGACTTTATCAAGGTTTTTTTAAAGTCGGTGATACTTAATGCATTAACCAGTCCAGCATTAACATTTTTAACATTATCTTATCGTATAACAACAGTAACCAAAGAAGATCGATCGTCCTAATGACTGTAATATACCTAAATGTAATTATCAATGTCATTGAGAAGTACGATTTCAGAAGGTCTTCGAGAACTGAATCCAACCTCAATATAAAGACTGTGAGAGTGAATCAGTGAATATTCGTAGTACAGAACACGGGCCGAGCCGATACGTCGAGTCCTCGTTCGTTCATATCGACCCCCCATGGGCACAAGACTGACAGTTTTTCCACTAATAAATAGCGTGGAGCCCGAGGTGATGGCCTGTATAGCGTGACTAGTTGCACTGTCACCTTTCACTGGTTAGAGGAACGGGGAGAAGCAATTGATTTTATAATCTTTTCAATTTAGTAGATGTTATT